GGGGTCCGCCGTGCAGAGGAAAGCGCGGCTCTCGTCGGGTCTGCGGAGAGAGAGGGGATCGGGGTCGCGGGCTCCGTCTGTACGCGAAGCCCCCCATCCTCCTCGTCTTTCCAGCCGGGCAAAACTCCTCCGAGTTTTTCTTGGCGGTGGAACCGCTAAGCAGGGCTCCTGTCTCCGTATTGTCGGCTTTCCCTAGCAACTCGGCTATTTTTTGTTTTCTTTTCTTTCTTTGTTGTTATTGGTGTTGTTGACGGGTGTTATTGTCGGTCCTGCTCTTTCACTGGGCTGTCCAGAGCGCTCCTCTTTCCGCTTGGTACTTTTCTTTGCCGCTGAGCAATAAACAGGTTCCGTCCGAAAGGCCAAAGCGTCGGTACCTGGGGCTCCCGTTTATTTCAAGGCATTTTCCTTAAGCCTTGAAAATGTCCCGTTCCGTTCCTTGAACTTTTCATACTCTGATTATGGCGGGTATCATAGATGGGATTTGCATGAAGCGAAAGAGGGCATCTACATCCCATTATAGGCATCGAGGCAGGGACGCATGTCGGCGTTAATTCTAAGAGAAATTGTAGCCACCCGGACTGTCTTCGGGATTAAATTGACATTTTCTTTAAAACGTAATAGTTAGAAAGTGAAATATTTTTTTTTTTTAAACTAACTGGTTTTATATCTGGTGTCATTGAAACATTTTCGTTGCTGGTATCACCAAAATTGTCGGCGGCGCTACGCATAGGTTCCACTTAATTTTCCAAATGTCCCTCTTTTCTCTCCCCCGACACAGAAAAAGTGTGAATATTTATAACTGAATGCACGCAATGCATAACTTGTTAGGGTTCTTAATAAATATATATAGGCAAATAGGAAAATACTGTGTTGAACAAGGGACAGCATCTGAAAACAGATAATTTTTCTACTGCAAACATTTCCTGTCAAGTCACTTTAAACAGCATGCATTTCCTACTCCTTTTTTAACCTTGATTTTGGAAATACAGTAAAAGCTGAGACAGAAGAAATGAGTGATTCACAAGTGGCTTCTTCAAAAGAATTCCCAACAGAGTTTACACAAAAAATATCATTTCAGCAACAATAACAGAAGACAGCAGAATAAAAGGAGTGCAGAAAACCTACTCTGTAACACATTACAAAAATTACATCGGGCTACTCTTTGTGTATAAGCGGTGTCTCTGAAATTAAAATACACGATCCTTCTTAACTGTTTGACAAAGTTTAATTAGTTTCTTCACAAACATTATTGAAGAGGTCGATTTCTAAGGCTGACATAAATTATGACATAGTAGTATGAAGAATGTATTCCTGGACTAGGCAAAAAAAAACAAAAACAAAACAAAAAAAGAGGCAAGATCATAATAGATGAAATAAAGAAAGAAAACTGCTTGAAATGTTAGCTATTTTGGAACAGTTCCCCTTCCTACTCGCAAAGTATCCTGGTATTTTATTACAGTGATTAACCACGATGGTGATATTTTGAAATAAATTCTAAATTTCTGGACATTTGCAAATTAAGAACTAAAATATTAGGTTAATATCTGAACAATTTGCGGTAATAATGAGGCCTAATGAGGTTGCTAGAAAGATAAAATGTTATTTACCAAAACACCTGATGGGATAATTTGACTTGCTGTGTTTTACTACTGATGATAAAAAGAATATTGATTGCAAATAAATCACCGTCTCTAAACGCTTGTAAACAACTTGTGTTTGCTCTGGCCGGATCAAAGTAAAACTTATGAGATAAAGTGTCTACGTATCCATATTCTACAATGCATGGATCAGTTTTCATTCCCGAGTTTAAAGCCTGTTCTAAGAGTTAGAAGTTAATGTTTTACTCCAGAATCTTGGTGTATGATTTGGGGAGCGGGGATGGAGCTGTTGGCATGTGTATGCAAAGTCTTTCACATTATAAGTCCCTTCGTACTGAAGTTGTGCATTCATTCCCCCCAGCCTCATCTCATTAGGAGCAAGAATGGTCTGCATGCATTTCTAACATCCTCCTGGATACTTTGCAGATAAATGCGGCGCTGTGCGCGGGCATTAGTTGGTAACTGCGGTGTAGTATCTGTTCTATGTGCCTGATAATTTCAAGGGCACAGTAAATTTTCTTGCTGAGGTGAAGGCAAAGTTGCTGTGTTTCCATCGTTTGGTCTGCTTTGGTTTGGTTTGAGGAGAAAATACTCATAATGTCTGTCAGAGCCCCGCTTAGCACCTCTTTTTCCTTTCCCTGCAAGAAGGGGGAATGATTTGGGAACACCTCTCTGTGTGACCTAAATGTGAAGAGCCTGGAACGGGCAGGGCCGAATTCGGCTGTGAAGACCCTTTGCACCGCTGAAAGGCGTATTCCGGCTCCCGGAGTAGCCTATTCAGGTCTGTTAGAGACGCTAACGAGATAATTGATGTGCTTTTTCCTCTCCGCTTGTCTGAATGTGTTGCAGGGCTCCCAGTACGAGCTGAAAGATAATCCGGGTGTCCACCCTGCTACCTTTGCTGCCCACACTGCCCCCGCCTATTATCCCTACGGACAATTCCAATACGGGGACCCGGGGCGGCCCAAAAATGCCACCCGGGAGAGCACCAGCACGCTGAAGGCCTGGCTCAATGAGCACCGCAAGAACCCCTACCCCACCAAGGGCGAGAAGATCATGCTGGCCATCATCACCAAGATGACCCTCACCCAGGTCTCCACCTGGTTCGCCAACGCCCGCCGGCGGCTCAAGAAGGAGAACAAGGTGACCTGGGGCTCCAGGAGTAAGGACCAAGAAGATGCAAATCTCTTCGGGAGTGACAATGAGGGGGACCCCGAGAAGAATGAAGATGATGAGGAAATTGACCTGGAGAGCATAGATATAGATAAAATTGATGAGAATGATGGGGAGCAGAGCAATGAGGAAGAGGAGGAGAAGCCTGAGCTCCTGAGACAAAGCAGCGAAGAGGAGCACTTGGAAAAGGAGAAGGATTTGGCACTGTCAGGGTCTGAAGGGCTGAAACCCAAAGACACGCTGGCCATGGTGAAGGAGGCCTCTGACAATAGCACGAGAATCATCAGTCCTGGGGGACCGAACAATTCACAGATGCCATCTCACAGCAAACCCAAGATTTGGTCTTTGGCAGAGACAGCAACGAGTCCTGATGGTGCCCTGAAATCTTCTCCTCCTCCGCCCCCTCCTCCCCAGGTTAACCACACTTCTCCTCAGATTCAGCATCCCGCTTTTCTCCCTAGCCATGGACTCTACACATGCCAGATTGGCAAATTTCACAACTGGACAAATGGGGCTTTCCTCACTCAGAGTTCCCTTCTAAATGTGAGGTCCTTTTTGGGAGTAAATCACCACCATGCTGCTCATCACAATCACCACCTCCAGGCCCAGCAACAATCTTCTGTTTTAACAGCAACCCTGGGAGCGCTAAGCAGCGACAAACCTTCAGAGAGGACCAGTCCCAAACACATAGGTAATTAATGTATCAGGCTTTCACCTCTCCCTCCACCCCCAAGACGTGCACGTGAACTTCTCCTTGAGGAATGGTGTCACGCTGGTGTAACTGATTGCTTTTAATGGAGCTACAGTTTACTCTAGCCTTGATTTCCGGCCCCCCACCCAGCGTGTTGGTCACATACATTAAGCACATTTCACGTGGCCTATTACATTCTCACCCTATATGCCCATCAAGTAAGATGAAAATTCAGGAAGAGCGCAGTGAAATGTATAAGTTTGAGGTTTCCTTCCCTCTTCCATGACCCTCATCTCCCAATAACTTCAATAACAGTAAGAAGTGTGTCAAGAAAAGCCTGCAGACTACTTAAATACTGAAAGTAGGGTATAGCGCCGTACACACATACACATGTATCTGTTCACATCTGAACAGGAGGGTGAGAGGGGAGTGTGTTCTCTGCAGTGTCCAGGTTTTTACTGCTGTTATTCTAAAATGGCTCTCCTGTTTTTGTTTGGCTTTTTTTGCTTTTTTTGTTTTGTTTTGTTTCTTTTCTTTTTTTTTTTTGTCTCCTTCTAGAAAGAGAAAATGTACCAAGAACTGACTCCCCACCCCAGCCGCTAAAATCGCCCTTCCAGCCTGTCCGTGACAAGTGAGTTTGTTTGTTTGTTTTCACTGTAGGAATGTTACTTATGTGAAACAGAGTGTTTGAATAATAAAGACTAATTATAGCACCTAATCATCACCATAATAATACATACCGACAATGGGAACAGCACAGGAGTTGCTCCAATCTTTTCAAACTTAGACTAAATTGCAATTGTACATAGCCAGACTGTAACTTTTCTAAAACCTAACAGATCTCAAAGATCTTGCGTTAATTACACTACAGATAACGATTTTTGTGCGATTACGTATTACTCAGATGCTATAGAAGTAGATGCACAATTGAAAAAAAAAAGATACTTTTTTCTGAAAGATTGTTACTTTTTTTTTTCCTTCTCCCTTCCCCTCCCCTGCAGCTCTTTGGCTCAGCAAGAGGGAACGCCGAGAATTTTAACAGCTCTCCCTTCTGCTTGATTAAATGATTTGGTGAAAAAATATTACAGAGACTGGTATTAAGGACAGAGAGAGTGAAAAAAAAGGAAACGGTATAAACGACTCCCATCAATCTCTTTTTGCAATAAGGTGGTGCAAATCCATAAAAGCATTACACAAATCTGTAGATGGATCCCCTTCCTCATTGTACCATTTCAGATCGTGTTATTCTAACCATTCTTGGATTATTTGTTTGGTAAATGTTTCCCATGTGTTTGTGGTTTTCTTTTTTCTGTATATAGAGTGATTTCAGTTTGTAAATAACACGTCAGCAAAACTTGTCTAAATCATATATTTTTGTCTAATAAACTAAATGAAATTATGAGCTCTCTTCAGGTATGTATTCTGTTGCTAGAGATCTTATACATATATTACAAATCTACTCAAACATTTATAATTAGTTTTTTTAAAAAGTCAAGTCTCCTCCTTTGGGTAACTGAAACTTCAAGTAGCAAATCCAAGCTATTTTGCCAAAACCAAGCTGTGAGCTTCCTTTTTTATACATGCAAATTTACAAAGTTGAGTGAAGATGTCCTTAGTAATATTAAAGCTATTTTTTTCATTTGTGATGATTCAGATGTGTTCTATAGTATCCATTTTCCAGACATGAATGGACCTGACTTCCACTTACGCTACAAAATACTTTCTTAAAACTGAAAGGGAAAGTTTTCTCACAGTTCCCTAGTGTAAAACTTTGCTGTCCAAACTGGCTGCTAAATTGGATCAAGAGCTTTATTTCTTTGGTATATAATCTCACCCAAGATAAAAAAAAAAATCATAGTTTAGGAAAAAGAATTATTTGTAGTGATATGCACTTTGAATAAACACAGAGGAAATATAATGGTGAAAGATATTTTCCTATGAGATTAACTACAATCTCAGTAGAAAAAAAGAAGAAGAAGAACAAAAAGGCAGCTCTTGCACATCTTAGAAATCTTAGAAGAAAGTTTTGCAATTCCGATCTGCTGGTTGAAAATAGACTGAGAGACAGGAGCTATCGTTTTATAAAGGCATTAATCTTAAAAAGACAGTCCGTTGAAATGTGTAATATTTTGAGTGTTTATTTCTCTTTTTTTTCCTCCTAAATGAGAACACTAAATGAGCATTGAGGTGCTAATAAGATACCAGATGGTTGTTGATAGTGGAAAATGGAAAGAAGCAGCTGGGAAAGTCATTAAGAAATAATGCGGTGACGCCCTATCCAAACTAAACCAACCTCAAACCAGGACTTGTCGGAAACAAGATGAGATTTTCAAATAAAATATTAATAAAATTCTCGTCAGAGATCAGAATATTGATCTTGATTTAGCTGCAAGATAACATCAATCAAAGAGCAGACTCCGTAAACTATGGCTTAGAGATCTGTTGGCAAAGCGGTGGAGGCGATGGGGGGCTCCTACATTTTGCGTTTTTCTGATGGAGCAGAGAAACAGGTCAGGCAAACCAGATTTTGTGTGGAATAGCTGAAGGAGAGCCTCTGGAAAGAGACTCATTTTGACATCCTGCAGTTCCTAGCATACCATAAATTAGTTTGTATTTTGGCTCTTAGTTGTTTCGGTGTATTTTTTTTTCCCTTTTCTCAAATGACAGAGAGTCTCGCGTTGGAAATTGTTCCAACAAAAGAGAACGTTGCACTTTTTACCAAACTAAAGTAATTTAGCCTTCGGGGAGAGGGTAGACGTATTTAAAAATGAAAGAAAGAAAAAAGTCTTCAAGCCTGTAGAGCTTAAGGGTGCGTCAGGTCAGTGCTGGTGTAAACCCGATGCAATTGCTGTCTCTTTCATATCCATCCAGATGAAATCGCCCCAGTCCCGCACCGGCTGCCCCAGTTCCCAAATTCCTCTCGGGAAATGCGGCCGCCCTCGAGCA